GTAAAATCCTATATTTTCCTTAAGTGTAAGTTGTTGAATTATCTGTTCTAAAATCGTGGTGTACAAGTATCTACCATACTTATGTTGTTTGAGCATTGTTCTATTTAAAAACCCTAGCTACCCATTAATGTATAATAGTCTTATTACATAAATAAAACTAGTTGATAATGTGTTGTTCTGTATCCTAAAAGTGTTGTTAATATCCTCATGTGATCACTTAGTACATACGAGTTATAGAAATCTAGATCAAACAAACAGTCGATTGGGTGATTCTGACCTAAGTCCACAATCAAACAAGGAACATGAAATGAGGTGAAAATCGCACATCCCACTACAAGTCGTTGTTTCACCTGTGGTTTCTTATAACCATATTGATGGACAAATACCAAAAAAAGCGTACTTCAGACGTCGAAAATTGAACATACGTTTTTCACCCCCGATTGAATAGAGCTAATAGTGAGGGTGCGGGATTGTCTGTCCCGTATAGATCTATACACAAACTCACGCTCTCCCTCTAGGAGACTCTGGTTACAAGGCGTCTCACATTGTAGTTCTCTCAACAAAAATCCACTAATAATACTAAGAAAACCCTTTTTGTTATGAACATGAATCCTTATAAAATAACATCTTTTATTTTATAATTCATAAGTTTGTTTCCTTTGTTATAAAAACTGTATTTGCAAACGTTTATATCTTAACATGTTTATAAAGCTGTCCACAAATCTAGTAGTAACTATGTTCATCATGGTTAGTAAGCTCTATACTCAATGTATGCTAATGATAGGAAAATATAACAAACCAAATTATATTTTTAAACACTGGATTACTTGTGTTTTTTACTTGTATCCCCCCCCCCCTGGAAAACATTAAAAATTCGGAAATATAGGGGTATGAACTCACCTTATATGGGTGATTCGATTGAAAGCTCGCATAAGGATGAGAAGTTCCACGAATGAATTCCTGAAACACAAACGAGTCCTAAATGACATATAATGGCATATATAGGCATGTAATTAGTGTTTTGGACAACTAACATGCAAGGAAACACCCTTAGGTACTAGGAAACACTTGTAACTTAGTGTTATAATCACATGTGATTGACTAAAATGGGTTTGCGGCCACTCAAGAGAGTGTACGACCAGTTAGTGTACGGCCAATGAGTGTACGGCCATACACCCATGGAAGAAACTTCCAAAAAGGGTGATTTGGTCCATGGGGAAACTAGTAGGTCTAATGTTCTACAAGAAGATGGGCAAAACATTCGATTTGGACCCTTTTCGGGTGTGTACAGCCAACCTATGAAGGGTTCACGGCCGTACACCCTTCAAGATCATGAAGGTGATGCCAAAATATGAAGAATCAAGGCTTAGATCTAATGGTCTTTCAAGCATAAAAATGTTAAGGTTGAAATACTTATGTTTTTTGAGCCTTGAGGTGTTCATGTCCAATGATAGTTGAGAGAGAATGGGAGAGATCTCGGTTGGGAAGAGGAGAAATGAGGAGAAATTGAGCACTACCCATATAGATAGAGGGTGGTGTACAGTCGTACACCTGTATACGGCCCTACACACCTTGTGAGCGGTTTTCCGGACCGAGCCAATGTCTCCAACCTCAAGTAAACCCTAAGGTTAGAAGCCCTTGAAGAGAAAGGAAGGAATATGATGCACATGGGGGTGAGTTCACGGCTACCTTGAGTGTACAGCCGTACACCCATGTGTGCAGCCGTACACTCCTCTTGAAGGAGTGTTTCCGGGTTGTCACAATATGATTGCTAAGAATAGAAGTAGATTATAAATCTAAAGCTAAACACCAGCTTAAAACCTTATTTCATGGTTACTTTGAATTTGGAGATTCACTCCAAACCTTAACCTTAAATCTAAGAGAGAAGCACAAGAAAGATTACCTTCAAATTATCCAAAAGTGATAATTTTTTTCTCTTTTTCTTTCAAATCACTTCAAGCTTATGTAACCCTCCTTAGGTGGAGAAAAAATATCCCTGGCACCCTCTTCCTTCTCAGGTTTTCATCTTTTCTCAAAACAGGGGAAGAAAAAAAAAAAGATGTCTAGCTTCAATCTTATGCACCTTCTCGAATATTATCTCTCAAATTTGATTTTTCTCACCTAAA